GGGGATGATATATATGTAAGGAGATTGGGTCTACAAAAAAAGATCAAAAGACAAGTAAATTTGCTTTATTTAAAGTTCGATAATTTTAAGTAGTATTTTGTTTTATTTATTTTTTATTTGTGATTACTAAGAAAAGTGATTTGTGGAATTCTACAAGATCAAGAATTGAGATTACAATAACGGGATTTGTTAATTACCTTAGTAAAGGTTGATCGTGTATATTATTGAGATGGGTGAGGAAAGAAAGCAAGATCAAGAATGATAATATTAAAAAGAAACAAAATGTTTAAAGAAGATTCTTATGGCACTATTAGAAAATGTTAACCTAAAGAAGGTTCTTATGACACTATTAGAGGTGTACATCAAAATGAATCGTTGCATACTATTTATAAACTTTACACATTTCAAATTTTCTTTTAGTAGAGCTGTCTTGGCTTATCCATAAACTTAAGGCCTAGAATAACTTTACTGTGTTGAGCCAAGACAGACCAACTTTAGTATTAGTTTTTTAAAATTTAAAGTTTTAGCTAATTTAAAAAGCCATAAAGGACTGTATTCTTGTAGACCGCTCTACACAACTTTTGCAAATAGTTACTAGAATCGATAAAATGTACTGAGTCTAGAGTATATTATGTTAAGATACACATAAGCCATGAGTATGGACACCAAAGTAAGCATGACTATTATAGGTGATTGTCATTTATGTAGAAACTTGATAAATCAGCACTCTTCTCTAATCATGTGTAGTTTTAGCGTTTATTGATCTCTTTTATGGGTCGATCTGGACAACTCGTTGACAATCTGATGTTAAACAACTTTGAAGGGAACTTGGCCAGTAATTTGGTTGATAAATGGGGAAAAAATTCACAAGGCTTTGTTGGTAGTCAAAAACCTAAGTCTCCCCTCATATAATTTATCATAAGCCTCTTGTATGTCTTCCCCATCTTTAGAACCCTCTCAGATTGCTTACAACTATGTACATCCTCAAACTTGACATAGCGTGGAATGAGAACACCGAGATCAATCGAGTAAGATATTGTAATAGTAGTATGTGTAATTGGTCGCTCACATCTTTGAATGAAATGCCGCAAGAAAGCCCCAAGCTCCACCACAGGCAGGAGGGACTTTTTCGGGGTTTGTTCCAGCAATGTCCAATTCTGCCTTCTAAGGTGACGCGTCAGTGTCCCGTTCCCTTCTAAGGTGACGCGTCAGTGTCCCGTTCCATGGACCCTTATACTATTTTGGGATTTTATGGGACCTAGGCGACGGGCTTTCTTGTAGTGTTCAAGGCCAATGACTTAGTCTTTAGTAGATTAGCTAATGTTAGTTTATAAATCTAGAGATATCTAATCAACTCTTCAACTTTAATGGTGTCTATGTCCTTACTCTCTTCTATAGTCGTGATTTTGGGCCTAAATCTCTCAGGTAAGGATTTAAAGATTTTTCGAACAATCTTAAGCTCATGAATTCTCTCACCTAGGTTGAAGCTATAATTAACTATGTCATTCAGGCTTGTATAAGACTCATATAATGTCTCATCCTCTTTCATCTTAATCTCTTCAAATCTAGTGGTCATCATCTGTAACTTTGAGTTCTTAATTGCCTAAATTCTTTTATGCGTGGTTTGTAAAATATCTCAAACCTCTTTCACAACCTCACGCATAGACATTCACCTAAATTCTTCAAGGGAGACTACGATAAATAAAACACGTAGGGATTTATTACTCCAATTGCACTCATCTAAATTCGTCTTTGACCAATTTGCTATGGGCATGGGGTTGAAAATACCATCAACGATGCTAGAAGGGCAGTCCAACCATTTACCACGTCCAACTACATAAGCTCATCCATTAATTTTAGGAAGACTCTCATTCTAACTTTTCAATATGCATAGTCACTGCCATCAAAATATGGCGGGACATATAATGAACTACTCATCTTGAAAGAAAGGGCTAGGAAATGAATTTATGTTCTGATATCAATTGAAAATTACTAGTTCAATCCTAAAATCACTAAAGGGGTGAATAAGTGAATATTGTAAAATTAACAGCAACAAGTCACTTATTAATTATTCTGAATGACTAGTCAAACAAGTCAAATTATCCTATGTTTAACTGTCACAATTTGTAATACGAAAGCAATAAAGAACATAAGCTCATTAAATCACGTCTATTAAAATCATTAAATTTCAAAAATCTCCTCATGAATGGAAGAAGCCGTCTTGAACAAATAAAGAGTATTATCTGAAAGATAGCGCATCAGGATAAATAGCTTACGCTTTGAACATTCCTTAATAAAAATTTATCGAATTCACTTGATTTAACATATTATCTCTAATATAAAAAACAATTCTTTATTTTTTTTTTCATTATTTCAACCTAATCTTTTGGATTTTGCAAGTGTGAGTGTTTATCTAATAAAATTCTCATGGAATTAACAAATTTTGCACCTAGATAGGTGATGTACTGTAAACATTACCCTACATAGTTTACAAAATATAGTCATCATTAAAAACACGGCTTATCCTCAAAAATTTTTTGAAGACAACACTTATTTGTATCATAGAAATAGAAAGGAGTTAACTTTGAAGTGTTTTTCATTGAGTCATTCATAACTAGTTTTCCTATTGAACCTAATCTTTAAGATCTCTAGTTGTCATGTTAGGTTCCATTAGATTGATCAACTAGATTTAGGCTTTAATCCCATTTTTCTTGATATGCATTCTTTTGGCTCTCTAAATAACCCCTTTGCACGGATCTACTAGGATATTCTTTAAGTAAACGAATTTAATTCATACTGTTCTATTTTAAACCAACTATCAAATAATATCATGTCTACGACTTACGTATCTTGACTTACTATTATGCACAAAATTAAGGATGAGAAAAAAATCTGTCACATCCGATACCCGTGGCCCTGTCCCAAATGGGGGTGGGGATTACCTACTTAATCAGATCAGGGATGGGGTTGGGTACGGGTAACAAGGCCTGCCCCTTTTTTTTTTTTTAATAATTCAATACTTTAGCGGGAAAACTCCACAAAATTTCATTAATTCTAATAGAATATGGCAATTAAGATTATCTAATGAATATGATAAACAATATAGATCTTAGTTTACTAAATATATTCTAATAATTTAAATTTTATAAATAAATTAATTAATTAAAAAATTTTAATAACTATATTATTGTCCCACTTTAATGAATGGGGGAAGTAAAATGAATTATTAAAAACTTTAAAAAAAATAAAAATTAAACAAGTAAGTAAATGGGTAAAGTTGAGCTATAATAACCTAATTTTTGGAATTTGAACAAATAGCTTGCACTGAAACTACTTGGGTATTCACTATTAGGAATTGTCAGTTGCCATTGTCATAACAGTCATGCAATCGACACAAATATAAAGGACATGCATTTTCGTTTTCAAACACTAAACCAAATTAACTACCACGCATCTGTAGTCGTTAAAAAGAATTTTTTTTTTAGGAAAATGATTTTTGGAATATGATTATTTAGTGAATGTGAAAGTAGAATAAACTTTTAAATTTACATGCAAAATATTTTATTGTGTGAATGTATAGTTGAAAATGAGCTTAACAAAAAAATAATAAAAAAGAGCTCTAGAAAATGGATTACAAACAGGGACAACACAAGACCTGAAGCAAATAACCTTAATTTCTATTTTTTCAATCTTTCTTGTCAGTGCCTACTACTAGTGGATCTAGGATGAGAGGTGAGCATGGGCGGCTGCAGGTGTTCGTCGGGTACTGGATCCACCGGTGATGCCTACTGACACGCACTTTCTAAAATAAAATGTATCTGTACACGCACTGTCAATTTTTCATTTTAAACCAATAATTGTATTCCAATTAGAATGGTCACATCTTGATACATGTCTGATGTCTGTAGTATTTAGGCTGCTCCATTCTAACAAAGACGTGTACATAAAACATTCAGGCTCATGCATAGGCAGATTTTAACCCATGTGCATAAACACAATGAACCAAATAATGAGAAACATAATATATGGAATAATGCAACACGAATGCAAAAATTGGAAAATAAAAATAAAAATATACAATATGCACAAAAACAGATTCCATGCATAAAAATATAAAAACAAATATAATATGCATAAAATATGGCAACTTGCTTTGCCGTCATTTTAGATCTCAACATTCCATTGTCAACTGGAATTTCCTGTGTTCATTACGTGCGGGGGTGTTGTGTTAGCTCTCTTTAAGTTGGCTTATAGATAGGTAGAATTTCTGGTGCATATTGTCCTTTTTAACATATTATCCAAATGACTTTGCTGTGCTATGCAATTTATTATTATGTTTTGTATATGCCTGTCGTATCATCTCAACCTTTATAACCTTATATTCCTGTGCTCGATTCGAATTTTTGTGTTATGGATTTGATGGTTTTGGATACGCTAGTGGATGCTCGTATGTATTCTAAAGGTAATTAATTTCATTATGGGTAGTGAATAGAATCAATTCATATTTTTTAATTTAAGTACTTTCAGTGGCTAGTCTTTGAGGATTTGTCTTTTGATGTTTCTTAGTAACAAAGGAGGAGCTTTCTTATGATCTTTATGAAATTTATGACTTTGTTTCAATTTCACTTGCTTGATTTAAAAAATCTAGTGAATTTCTTGTCCAGAAATGTACAAGCATATTTCAATTCATTACGTGCGGGGGTGTTGTGTTAGCTCTCTTTAAGTTGGCTTATAGATAGGTAGAATTTCTGGTGCATATTGTCCTTTTTAACATATTATCCAAATGACTTTGCTGTGCTATGCAATTTATTATTATGTTTTGTATATGCCTGTCGTATCATCTCAACCTTTATAACCTTATATTCCTGTGCTCGATTCGAATTTTTGTGTTATGGATTTGATGGTTTTGGATACGCTAGTGGATGCTCGTATGTATTCTAAAGGTAATTAATTTCATTATGGGTAGTGAATA